TTAGAAATCTTTAGGCTTTACCATAATGTCATTTCTCTACCTCAAATGCTAGACGTTTCTTTTAAACATTTCAATAGCCTTAGTTATTTTTCCAGTTTCAGTTATTCCTTTTTACTGCCAAGCTAATGAACGCACCCACTCATTCCCTCCATAGCCATACTGATTCCTTTTTGAGCGTAAGGAGTATTTTGCAAGGACATTAGCTAATGAAGTTGCACTCAAGCTGCAGCATATTACCTCCTTGCAAATAGGTGCAGTAATAACAATACATAAACAACGTATTAGACAAGCCATTTGAAAAAGCAAAGGGCAATTCCACTTTTGTACTGTGAGCTATAAAAGAGAATCGCTCTTCATGATTTTTTTCTGTTTGTTATTTATTACAGCTGATTACAAGGAGAGTTTTAACACCATTGGGAATATTGAAGAAATTGCTTTCAATGCCGTGTCCTTTACTTGGGATGTCAATGAAGAAGCAAAGGTGAGGAAAAGCTGTGCAGATTGTGCTTGTTTATAAAATCCTCCCTCAGACACCGTTCCCCTCCTCTCTGCTCTGTAACCAACATAAGAAAGATAAGTGCAGGTGAGAAATCCTGTTCCCCTCCAAGCCAGGCAAATGTTGGTCTGCCCCTGGCTCCAAGGACTGTGGTCATCCATAAAAGGCAAGATGGTAGGTAACAACTGTCAGGATGAGGCTGTGTTCACACACGTAGCCCTGTCAAATAAAAGGGGACGCAGTCCTGAGGAAAACCTGCAGGGCTGTCAGAGCACAGTTCCGTGTCTGTGGCCTCTCAGTGATTTTCCATTTAAAATGTGCCCAGCCTGAAAATCAGTGAGAGGGTTTTATTGTACTTGCAAGGTCAGTGTAGGACACAAGGTGAATGTTTCCTTTCAGCAGGTTATCATCTTTCTTTCTACACTATTAACATTACCAATAATCAATATTCTGTAAGCTAGACTATACTGTCCCCGGTATTTATGCCACTATTTTTCATATGGTAACACAGACTGGCCTGGCAGTTAGAAATTAGCTTATTTTTGGAGTTTTCTTCTTCTTTTTTTTTTTCAAAATGGTCAAATACCCTCAAACATGGAGTTTTAGAAGTGAGAATGTGACAGCTACAGTGAACCTAGAAACGAGGACAGCAGACTGCTGGTTTTCAAGTATCTTGTCAATAAGGGCATCCAAAGGGTAGCAGAATGTTTCAGCTGCACGGACTGGTGGAACAGAAATGAAAAGCTGCAGGCAATCCTCAGCAAGCAAGCAGCAAGGGAGATGGGCTGTGCGATGGGTAGGGATAATGCAGTGTTCTCAGGGATCCACAAATAGTAAGCAGTGCAGTCTTCATACTGAATACAAAACACCCAGCACTCAGGTAATACAAAGTGTCTCTCAAATGTGCAGTTTCATGCACAGGTGCCCACTGGATTTCTAAGAGAGCAGTGGGAGACTCTCTCCTTGTGAGAGACTGCACTGAGCTCACTATCCTGACGTGCTTCTTCACTGAAGATGCTGAAGGCTTTAGTAACAGGGATTTTCATAGCTCATGCACGTTTTAAAAGAACAGAGCACTATGTGAAGAAAAGATAATATTTCCAAAACTACCCAGCTCTTTCCAAAGGTGGACCTTGGTCAGCTGCTGGATCCAGTTGCTATTAATGCTATATTTATTCATGTAAAACTCATGTTTACTCACCCCAGCCTAAATATTCCCCTGAAATGAGGATGTGGCTCTTATGTGACTCTTATTTAAAAATAAGGCACTATATTGTCCTCTGCCATCACAACAGATGACCCCCGTGTGCATGTGGTCATTGCACAAGCCAATACACGATTCGTTTGGAATGTCTAGCATGAGGGACCCTCCTCACAAGCCTCTGGGTTGAGGCACAACCAGGTCTAGAGCACAGCAGCCCCATCTCCCTCCCAGCAGTGGTTACCCATCACCATTGCTGGGGCCAGCAGTTCTTGAGCACACTTGATTTGCAGCTGCAAGCCAGACTGAGCAACACAGCATATTGATGGAGGAGCAAAAAAGTCTCCTGTGCTAATACCAGGTGTTTCCCACTGCTGTTTTATTCCTTTCTAATATTGCACTGTTCACACTCTTGCCTCCCTGAGGGTCAAAACATTAAGAATACAACTCTCACTATAATCATTGGGAATATAAATAGTATGTGGGAAATATATATAGTAAATTGATGGCTATATTCTTGTTTCTCAAGTAAAAAGTTGTGAGGAGTGACATTTGAGAGAGCAATTTGTATTTCTGCAGGAAGCAGTCATTAAAATAATATTGTTTAATGCTTAATTTACTATCAGGAATAACTATTAAACGTCTAATCTTTTAGAAATTCAAACTGAAAATCAGTATCAATAATGGTAAGGAGGTTCATAGCATTTCTTGTTACTGGGCACTAAAAAATAAGTACAATGTGTGTTTTTGAGGTTATCACCATCACTAAGGCATTTTTCCTGCCCTGCACGTGTGTACATGTACATACATGCTGGCTCTTGTTGCAAAGTTGAGTAAAATAACCAGTCAGGCTCAGACTGGGAATTCCCATAGGATCCCCCTGCGGTGTCTGAAAGCTGCATATTCAGAGTCACGTCACTGAACACTGTTTTTTTCCCCAGCAATTACCTCATCCAAGAGAGCTAAAGAATTTCAAGACCTAATTACAGACTCTCCTTTCTTAAGCGTTTTGAACGGTGATCCTTAAACTGGCTCCATTGTTTCTGCTCAGTGTTGTTTTCCCTTTTCTCCACAATTTCAAGATTAAAACTAACCTCACCAGCACAAAGACCTTTCTCTTCTGAGTCAGACAAAAGCGGCACAGAGCAGTTCTTTCCAGGGCCTCTATGATGTTACATGGCAAAGCCCTCCACTGGTCTCGGAGGAAGAAAAAAAAATCCAGACCAATCTTTGAAACTGCACAGGGAAGCAATCCTTAAAAGTGAAAAAGAAGACAAGGAAATCACCTAAGAGAATATCCCTGTCTGTCCTGGGAGAGTAAATCCTGCATCTAGTGAGCAGTGTCTAAAGCATCAGACTTCTCACTTTGATCTCCACGTGGAGGGCAGCTTTTTAAAGCCAGATTCCTCTTCCCACACTCCTTTCTGGAAGCCCTTTAGGATGGAGGGATAAGAGCCCACGTGAGAGCGTGAAGCTGTCCCGTACCAAAGGGAGCCTGCTAGGGATTTGTGAGACAGCAGCATCTCGTTGGGACAGGACGGGAAAGGGGTGGGAACCCGTAGGAGACACGCGGAGACCTCCCGTTGTCACAAGGGGAGCCCAAGGAGAGCTGGGACCTGGCTCTGCCTTCAAGGCTCTGGTCTTTTCTGACCGCTCTGTGACCAAACAGGAGCCCAGAAGGGAAGAGGGACCCTCAGACGATGGGATAATCTCCCTCTTGCTTCTGTTGGACCAGAGGAATCCAAAGTCTGAGTAACAGTCAGCCCTATTAAGAATTTTCTCTGCTGTATCTGGAGCGACAGCAGTCCCCTCCAGGGCTCTCCAGGAGAGCAGAGTTGGGCCCTGCACCACTCTACCTTTTTCTGCAACCTTTTCTCCTGGGGTCATTTGCTAGAGTTTCCCATCGATTTATGGTTGCAATACAGGGAAGGGAAGGGAAATGGTCTAAACCCCCACTGAACTCTTCCTTATTGTTTCCTTTGAGACAAAATCACTCTGCAGCAAGGAAGCATCAGTAGGAAGTGAAGAACACTTTTCATATGGTCCACTATCCCTTCACTCCCCCATTTACTCCTATATATAAATATACATGATCTATAAGCAAGGTGACCTTCTGGTTTGCCCGTGGTTAAACCTGAATATAATTTTTGGTATTTTTAAAAGAATTCTTTAAAGGAAGGTGAGAAAAGAACACATAACATTGGCTGATTTTTCAGCCATCTTTTAAAAGTTTTTTATGATATGTAAAAGGTGATACGCTAAAACCACCTTGCTGTTGATCTGCAGAAGATCTCTTTTGCAGTGTCTGGCAGGCTGACAAAATTCTTGTGGAGGCTTTTGAACAGCTTCCTCTTTGGTAGACATATCCATCTGCCTGTTTGCAGTCTGGTTGCTGACAGAATTAGATTTGTGAGAAAGATAATTAAGAACCAGAGCACTCTTGGTCAAACAAATGTCTCTTTTTTGATAAATTGTACCACCTCTTTTAGGTAGGTCTTCACTCTGATTAATGCTTTGCTACCTCAAAATGGTTGCGATGATGTTACCTCTGGAAAAAATGTCATTTTGAAAGTAAGTTCATACAATGATGCAACCTCTGTGAGCAGTCAGTAAAAGACAATATAACCTTAAAGCACACAAAAAATACTTCGCAGTGGTATCAAAAGATACTGATTTCTACAAAGACGTGCAACTCGGAGTGGCAGTGAACAGACCTCTTGGAGGTGTGTAGTTCACCCAGGTGCTGGCCCATATGTTTTGGTGTGTAGAGCCGTTGCGCGCGGTGCTTTAGTTGCACATACCTGCGTGCAGTCACTGTCCTTGTGTGTTTAACTGAAACACACATCTTTAATCCAGAGCTTGCTGAGGCCTCTGGGAACATTTCCAGTTATTTAATGAGTTCTGGCATAGCCCACAGAGCAGTAAGCTCTGTTTTCAGTGAGTGAGTGATTTGCTGGATTAGGGTCTTAGACACTGTGGGCCAAAAAGAGCCATGATTCCAATGGGCACAATTGTAAAACTGAGTTGATGAAACCATAGACTCTAGCAGTGATTTGTATTGTCAAAATCCTTCTTTTGTATGTGTTTTTTTATTATTTTTTTAAGTTTGGTAGGGATATTTAGTACAAGTTTTGACTAGTGTAAGATTTATGATGTTCTTAATTATCCATTTCCTTCCTAAATTTCATCGACTTTCATTTCATTCAGAAGGAAGTTATTATTTTTTACACTCTCAGAATTTAATGATTGTAGGTAAGGAGACTTTATTTTGAGGAGTTAGTGCCAGAAATTATATAGTAATAAACTCAGAGCCAGCTTTAACAAACCATATCTGTGTATATATATGTGCATGCATATCATGCACCATGAGCACATATGCAAGCGTACATATTTATATTAAAGAAGAGTTAACTTGTGATAGCAAATAATGTTGAAATTTCAGTGTGTATACAAATGGTTCAGTAAGTTTGCATCTGGGACTCAAGGCAAATGGCATTTTTATGTAGTCGCCGGGGTGTGGTGTGGGTTGAGGAAGCTTCAAAAGAGCAGTGTAAACATTTGCTGGAGGCATTTGTATTGAAATAAAACAAAGGTCTTACCTTTGTATGGGATTTATAAGGTAACGGCTGGCAGGAGAAACTATAAACCCACACTTTTTATGTATTCCAGGAATGATGGGATTGGTGTTATTCATTAAAGAGACAAGTCATTTAACTCTTAGTTGTTACAGTATGGAGGGATGAACCTTCTTAAAGCTGAGGACTTCCAGGATTTTGTAAAGACCAGTCCCCTAGACATGGATTCTGTATTTTGCCTGTGTTCGAGAAATTACTTGAAGTTTCTAATTTTGTGATACAACCCACTCTTCCCTCCCTTCTGCCCTTGGCTTTTTCTGAGACGATGAGAGCCAGAAATGTAAATAGTAATAAAAGGCTTATATTTAGAGGTTTCGTAACTGCAGACCTTTAAAGTGCAGAAGCTGAGAGACCGCAGCAGGAGTCGTGTTGGCTGGATTCAATGATAAAAGGGGAAATGCATTTCTGAGCCTTGCCTTCTCTTAAGGCAGGTGGCTGTGTTTGTGTCTTGTACATCACTAATTACGCTGCAGTGTTTAACAAACAGTCAGTAATTCACTTAATAACAGCCACACTGTGGAGGAGAAGCCTCCCCCGAAAGAGCAAGCTTTTTCTAGACATTCCCTATTAGCAAACAGAAGAGTCGTCGTTACATTAGGCCACTTTAGAAACTTTCTTTCAGGCATCAAATGTTTCTCCAAATTAGTTTTTCATTGCCAGTGGCATGCCTGAGCTGGAGACTACATGGGTGGAACTCTGTATTAATTGCTCTAATCTAAGATATGCTGACATTTAAAAAAAATATAACGACAACCCATACTTGTTCCTGATAGCAAAACATTGCTAAAATCCAGTTTGCACAGGAAAAAAGATGGTATGTGAATTCATGTACTGCCATAGTCACATCCGTGAAAATAACTCTTAAGTCAAGTGTAGACAGGGCCCTAGGAAAAGCAGCAGAGATTTCTTCCTCTGCTGCCATTTTTGCCTGTATTTTTCTAGCCATAAACCACCGCACAAGAGACCAGAGCAAGAGAGCTCTTAAGCCTGGTTGTTTTCCAAGAGGGATAGAGCAGGACTCTGTGTTTCCGTGGCCCCTGGGCATTGCTTGTCCCCGGCCTCGCTCGTGGGTGCAGTCACCAAGGAGGGGAAGTGGCAGCTGCACGGGGCGAAGGGGCAAGCGGAGTCATTGCCCTCCTCAGCAGAGCAGGACGTGGCCCAGGGCTCCCTGCCTCCGGTTCGCCCCGGGGGCCTGATGTGCCACTGTGCTGTGGCTGGTAAAATTAGTCAGTAATGCAAAGAAACCCTCCCCTAAAGTCAGCTCAGGGGACACAACCTGTGTCCTCTTCCTTCTCCCTCTGTGCTCACAGCCAGGTTTGTTTTAAATTTATTTATTCATTCATTTTATCCAAAAATCAGTTTTGTGCTTTAAAGAAAAGCTAATAAAAGTGGAGTCAAAAAAATCTTCCAAAATAAATGATGTGTTTTAGCTCAAGTAAATCTGTCTATCCTCATAGCAGAAATGATGTGACAGAAATTACAGCACACTTCTTGCACATGAACGTACAGTCATTGCTCCTCAGAGGGATCCTGATGTATTACAGTGTCAGGATTAGGATATTGAATCTTACAGCATCAATCTATTATTCATACTGAATAATCTGTTGTTGCTGCATTGGGACTCCTAAAAGGATAAAGTCTGTTGCTCTTGCTGCACTCCAGGTTTCTGGAAGCAGTGGAAGAGACGACCCACAGCCTATGTCCTCGATTAAGATGGACAGTGCCTTTTTTTTAACTTTCCATATGTTTGTGCAGCAAACATGATAGATGTACAAGCTGTTGCGTGGACGCAAAGTCTTCACATCCCTGCTCACATTTTTACAATACAGTTCAGAAGATCCCTGTGCTGAAGTATGGGCAAAAATACAGGTTCTGCTCTGCTTCAGACCTCATTCCATTGCTCTGTGTTCATACGTACATTAAAGCATTGACACTGTAAAGGAGACTTAAGGCAAATGAAAATGCAGGCCATCGTATTTCAAAGGCATATGCACCCGTACCTACGCTTACCTTTGGATCTGGAAGAGACCAAGCTGTAATTTGAAACAGAAATAACACTATCAGCTTCAAAATCAGAGTTTCACCTAGGGCCCTTCCCTGCCTCCCTCCTCTCTCCTCAGTTAAAGTTCAACTATTTCATTTGTAAATGCAGCTCTGCGATACAATCAGAAGCAGAAATGCGGAGGTGCCATTAGCTCAGTCAGGCAAACAAGCTGCTCTGGCTCCATCATAAAACAACCCCTGACTGTAATGTTAAGGTCTGCCATTAGAGTAAAGTATCCCTCCGCCGCCGGTGCGGCATCCCGTCTTTATTCCGTGCTGTCCTTCCCCCGAGGGCTATCAGCACTCTGTTCAGTCCTGCTGTGTTTTTCCCCACTGTGGTTTGCAGGGGGAGGACTTCCTTCAGCCTCCATCTTCTTGGGTCCTCCCAGGGCCTCTGGTGTCTCCTCCGCTCGCGAGGGCTTCACCAGCCCCCCGGGTCCTGCTGGGGAGCAGGTTCACGGGGGGTCCCATGAAGCTCTTTTTTTCTACCTGTGTTGTTTCTCCTGCAGGATGTTTCACTTTTTGCTATGGTTCAGGACATGTGTCATGGTAGTATTTCCTTTTTCATAGGTATTCGCTATTTCTATCTATCTATTCTTAGATATTACCTGTTTTGTACATATTTTCATCCCATATTTGGGATGTTGTGTGTGTTTTGTTTTTTTAAAATCTGAGGGAAACTAAAAAGTATGATCAGGTTAATATGTAATTAGCACTCATTATTATCTGGAGCATGTATTAACACATGTTGTTCATGGGAAGAGCAATTGGATTTTTAATACACTTTTTCGTCCCTCACATTTCCAGGACAATGTGCTGATTGGGAAGATATGAATGATATTTCAGATCATGTAACAGCTTTCTTTGCACTGAAATGATCCTTGGTTGACTTGCTGGTCTGTGTCCCACACTGGTATGGTAGTTAGAAGGCATGAGGTAGCTAGTGGCTATCAGTGGACCCAAGGGGGTGTAGAGGGAAACCATGAGACCAGTTTCTGAGTAGAAGACAGGCAGCGGTTCCAGCACACCAGGAACCTGGTCATTGCCAGGATATAGGAGGCCACATGGTGAAGGGGATTTTTGAGAAAGAGGTAGAGAAGGGTAAAGACCCTTCTCGAGTTTCCTAGCTATGGGGATGGAAAGGCCATATCTTAAAAAAGACTATACTGAAAAAAAAATCAGTAAGATTTAAAAGTAACGTAACTATGAGGAAGCAAAAACTCGTATTGTGGAGCTGAAATACTTTTCTGTATAATCAAAGAAAAAGTGTTTATAAAAAAAAAGGATAGGAGTTTTGTTTGGCCATACTGAATTTAAATTATGAGATGGCAGAAGAACAAGCCAGAGAAAAGGATGGCTAGAAAGGACAGTGCAAAGTTGCTTGCTTTGGCTATGTTAACAATTAATATGAGTATACAGAGCAGGTTTGTAGGATGGAACTGTCACAGTTAAAGACTTGACATCCATATGAGACACATTTTACCTCAGATCATTGCTAGTCAGTTCCCAGAGACTGAGCAAGCATTAGCAGCTGGACCACGAGGTGTTTGCCCAGGACACGTCTTCTGGTCTGACTCTTCCTAAAAGAAACCAGCTTGGGCTCTCTGAAGCAGCTCTGTGGTGCACATCAAAGTACAGCAAGTTGAGTCCAGCAAGTGATTCACTTCAAACCCAAACTCCTGATCCAAACTTAAGTGTTAGCATTGATATACACTAGAAGTCTACCTTCTTGTCCCAACATGATGCCATTTTTTTTGTATTTGCCTTTTATGTTTCCCATTAAGTACCATGTGTTTACAGAAGTTTATTAGTTTATTTGCACCATGTATTTAAAGCAATCTTTCTGGTACACAGATTTTCATCACGGTGAATTGCCTGAGCACTGATTTCTCCTCGCAGAAAGGAGTCAAGGGGCTTCCTTTGATGATTCAGATAGATACCTACAGCTACAACAACCGCAGCAATAAACCCATCCACCGAGCCTACTGCCAGATCAAAGTTTTTTGTGACAAGGTAAGTGGATAGCAGAATTACAGTGGAGAGAGGAAGGACATTGTTAGGCAATTTGTTAGTATTGCTGTATTTTAGACCTAGTTAAAAGTTGTTTCCTCTCCCAAAGAATAATCCTTCATGGTAAAATTTGCATGAGCTATATTATAAATCAAACAAGTTATCACCAAATTATTTCACTATTTGGACCCTCATTCTTCAGTTTAACTGCAATACTAGGACTGCATAAGGGCAGCGTGATACAGGTATAGGAAATCGTCATAATGTAAAGGTCTCTGGGAGGTCAGTGCTGACCATAGGGTCATGCAGGTGGCTTGTCTGATGATCTGTCCTATGGTTCTAGCAACAGGATAGGGAATATGTAAGCTTTGAAGAAGCTTTTTCTCTCCTTCCTTCCTTCCTTCCTTCCTTCCTTCCTTCCTTCCTTCCTTCCTTCCTTAATCCTCCACATTTTGTGGTTCAGCAACATTTTCTTTTTTTACTGCTCCTTCTTTTGCAAACTTTCATCTTTTTGGTCCTTTCACAGTGGGCTACCCCACTTTGTGGAAACTGGTATTCTTCAGCTTCTTCTTTGGCAGTATTCTTCAGTTTCAGAACAGATCACAGCTTAAGTGAGTCTGACAATGTCATGACCAGCTGTAAGTACCACCAAGTAGAAACAATTGCTCAAAAATTTTATCTCAGTGATGATTCTTAAGTGAGACCACTTTTCACTTATACTTTACAACTGACAGCCAATGAACTTAATCCCTCTGGGAAAGATTTTCTGAAGCAGAAAGCAGCAGTAGATGCTGAGATTCTAGTCAAGGTTCAAGAATTCGGGAGCCTGTGTGTGTTTAAGTGACTATGAAAGTTATCCAAATTAGTTTTCCCATCTTACAGATGAGAATAGAAAAGCAAAAGGCCGTGCCCCAGGCAATACATAGCATTAACTTCTAAAGAAAGGGTAAGAGTTCATCTGTTCCAGCTCTCTTGCTGCTGCTCCTTCCCCTTTTTCAGTTAATTCCCTTATTGCTGTCTTGACAGGATCTTGAGGGCTAATCAGTTATATTACTGGAGAAAAAGTTTTGAAAATAAGGAATATGAATGTATACGGTGAGGTCTTCCTGCAACCAAAATGTTATGTTTTTAATTGTAACTTTCAATGTCAAATATTTACAGAGATTTGAAGCTCTGGTTATTTAATTGGTATCAAGTAACAAGATGTTTTCACTTACCTGTTACGGAAAAGCAGTTAGAAAATTCTGAATCATCTTTTTAAAAAAGGGAAATAAATTCAGAGCACAAACTCATCCAGGATGGCCATAAGACGCAACTGCCAGAGATTTTGACTAATACATGTTCATTGCCTCTATTGACTTAATTGGTATTTCAGATTCGCTGAACAGGAAGCACGAAATGAGTGTTGAGACTTTTAATCAAAACTGTCTCGGAGTAGGAGAAAAAGATCACAAGGATAAAGTGTTAAGAACATCAAAACTACACTGAAAGTGGGAACTGGAGGACTCAAGGGGGTTGGTAAAGCATTAACAGCTGGACCACGAGGTGTTTGCCCAGGACACGTCTTCTGGTCTGACTCTTCCTAAAAGAAACCAGCTTGGGCTCTCTGAAGCAGCTCTGTGGTGCACATCAAAGTACAGCAAGTTGAGTCCAGCAAGTGATTCACCTCAAACCCAAACTCCTGATCCAAACTTAAGTGTTAGCATTGATATACACTAGAAGTCTACCTTCTTGTCCCAACATGATGCCATTTTTTTTGTATTTGCCTTTTATGTTTCCCATTAAGTACCATGTGTTTACAGAAGTTTATTAGTTTATTTGCACCATGTATTTAAAGCAATCTTTCTGGTACACAGATTTTCATCACGGTGAATTGCCTGAGCACTGATTTCTCCTCGCAGAAAGGAGTCAAGGGGCTTCCTTTGATGATTCAGATAGATACCTACAGCTACAACAACCGCAGCAATAAACCCATCCACCGAGCCTACTGCCAGATCAAAGTTTTTTGTGACAAGGTAAGTGGATAGCAGAATTACAGTGGAGAGAGGAAGGACATTGTTAGACAATTTATTAGTATTGCTGTATTTTACACCTAGTTAAAAGTTGTTTCCTCTCCCAAAGAATAATCCTTCATGGTAAAATTTGCATGAGCTATATTATAAATCAAACAAGTTATCACCAAATTATTTCACTATTTGGACCCTCATTCTTCAGTTTAACTGCAATACTAGGACTGCATAAGGGCAGCGTGATACAGGTATAGGAAATCGTCATAATGTAAAGGTCTCTGGGAGGTCAGTGCTGACCATAGGGTCATGCAGGTGGCTTGTCTGATGATCTGTCCTATGGTTCTAGCAACAGGATAGGGAATATGTAAGCTTTGAAGAAGCTTTTTCTCTCCTTCCTTCCTTCCTTCCTTCCTTCCTTCCTTCCTTCCTTCCTTCCTTCCTTAATCCTCCACATTTTGTGGTTCAGCAACATTTTCTTTTTTTACTGCTCCTTCTTTTGCAAACTTTCATCTTTTTGGTCCTTTCACAGTGGGCTACCCCACTTTGTGGAAACTGGTATTCTTCAGCTTCTTCTTTGGCAGTATTCTTCAGTTTCAGAACAGATCACAGCTTAAGTGAGTCTGACAATGTCATGACCAGCTGTAAGTACCACCAAGTAGAAACAATTGCTCAAAAATTTTATCTCAGTGATGATTCTTAAGTGAGACCACTTTTCACTTATACTTTACAACTGACAGCCAATGAACTTAATCCCTCTGGGAAAGATTTTCTGAAGCAGAAAGCAGCAGTAGATGCTGAGATTCTAGTCAAGGTTCAAGAATTCGGGAGCCTGTGTGTGTTTAAGTGACTATGAAAGTTATCCAAATTAGTTTTCCCATCTTACAGATGAGAATAGAAAAGCAAAAGGCCGTGCCCCAGGCAATACATAGCATTAACTTCTAAAGAAAGGGTAAGAGTTCATCTGTTCCAGCTCTCTTGCTGCTGCTCCTTCCCCTTTTTCAGTTAATTCCCTTATTGCTGTCTTGACAGGATCTTGAGGGCTAATCAGTTATATTACTGGAGAAAAAGTTTTGAAAATAAGGAATATAAATGTATACGGTGAGGTCTTCCTGCAACCAAAATGTTATGTTTTTAATTGTAACTTTCAATGTCAAATATTTACAGAGATTTGAAGCTCTGGTTATTTAATTGGTATCAAGTAACAAGATGTTTTCACTTACCTGTTACGGAAAAGCAGTTAGAAAATTCTGAATCATCTTTTTAAAAAAGGGAAATAAATTCAGAGCACAAACTCATCCAGGATGGCCATAAGACGCAACTGCCAGAGATTTTGACTAATACATGTTCATTGCCTCTATTGACTTAATTGGTATTTCAGATTCGCTGAACAGGAAGCACGAAATGAGTGTTGAGACTTTTAATCAAAACTGTCTCGGAGTAGGAGAAAAAGATCACAAGGATAAAGTGTTAAGAACATCAAAACTACACTGAAAGTGGGAACTGGAGGACTCAAGGGGGTTGGTAAAGGGATATGTATCTGTATAATACAGATGTATACACACGTGCACACAGGGCTTTCTGACTTGGTGCAGTGCTGAAAATGAATGACAATTATCTTGGTCAGTTCACATGGCAGTTTGTGCCGGTTGGCACCGTTGAAGGAGCCCGAGGCCCAAAGCTCTGCTCAGCTGTGTGCCTCTCTACTGACTCAGGTAGTCACAATGCTTTAGTGTGTGATTAAATGTTTGGAGATGCAAAGCTCAGGTGCGAACCAAGCTCCGTGGCTACGTTCCTGCCTGCACGGAGCTGTCCCGTGCGCGCAGCGGCCCCGGCTCATGGATTTACTGCGAGGCCTCGCTGCTCGGGATGCTCTATCCCACCTCCCGAAACAGCTGGAAAAATTCACAGTGCACCCAGAGAGAGAGAGCTGCTGGGCACGTATCCTTATCCTTTGCCCCCCAAAAATAACAGGCGGTCACTGGTCGACGAGGTGCTAAAAGGAGGGTCCCTGGCTCAGTTTCTCTTCCAAGTCCGTTATTCGCCCTCTAGTGACCAAGATGGGACTTACTGCCCATGTGGTAAAAGCCCTCATGTTCTTGCCCTACTGTTTGTCACACTTAACTAGAAAAGTATTATGGACCGTTTTAAAAAAGAACAAACATCAAATGATTTTTGCACATTTTCAAAGTATACATTGCATCGTTGTGCCCCAGTCCAACAGATGTAAAGAGAAATTCATGGGGAAAGTGCCTGATTTGTTTTAATCTTAGATGCTTATCTAAGTTTGAAACATGAAAGAAAAGATGTTTCTGTATCCGATATATCTATCATTATGCTATCTACTACTAATGATAGTATCTATGTTATCATTATAAATGGTCTTTCTACGGTGATGGTGCCTCTTTAGGGCTAGTAGTAGTGTTTATATAATAACTTGGTTAAATTACAGGTACATGTGTCTAATTTTTAAGAAAAGCACCCGATTAATGTCCTTTGGCTGAAACACAGCATAACTGCTATGAAAGAGCATCCTTGAAGAACTAAATCTGCATTTAGCAGTTTTGTCAGTATCTGTTCAGGCAGTTACTTAAATTTACTATTCTTTTGCATATTAGTTAGAGAGCATCCCAGGCTCAGATCAAACATGCGCTTTATGCAACATAAGTGAATGGATATAAAGGCTGCAAAGGTTTTAATTGCTAGTTTGCTCCTGATTCATTCTCCAATCTTTGGTCCGTGTTTCTTTTCCAGTGGGCAGTCTTCAGATCAACTGTTGTGGTGCTCATCTTGTTTTCTCAGTGCTAATTCTCTCTGCCCTTGTAGTCTTTTTATCATGTGTGGATCACTTGTGCTGTTTTATCATAAGGGAATATTATTTTTATTCCTTATGTGGGTTGTCAGGGAAACTTGCTACCAGGGCTATTTATATTTATATGTTGCAAAATACTTTAAACACGGGGTATGGAAGAACTAGCAACTTGGAGACATTTCATTTTCTGTATGTGATTAGCTTTGCTAAAAAGAAGCAGCAGCATTTGACTTGGCAAATACTGTGACATTGTTCTTCCAAATTAATCCTGTTTTCTTTACTCAGGGAAAACTGCTTGTTGTTTTGAGTATATGCCATTCCTGGCCTCTGGTCTTCAATATGCATAGTAATAGTGAAAACTAAAAAATATTATGGGATGCGGAGCATATTTAATCGCCAGTCTTCAGCTCTAGAGAGAAGAAAGCTGTAGTCTGTAGGCCTGTCTTATCAAATGTGAAATAGAATCATAGAATCATAGAATCATAGAATGCTTAGGGTTGGAAGGGACCTCTAGAGATCATCTAGTCCAACCCCCTGCACACGCAGGGACACCTAGAGCACGTGGCACAGGACTGC